CCTATTGGGCGATCACTCATTATCATCGCCACAGAAGCAGCCCTCTGAGCCCGTTCAAGCGATATCATCAAGATTCCAAATTTGTCTTGAGGAATATATAGTTGAGGCTAGATTACAATATGATGATCCCTTAATGATTCCCCTAGAGTCTGGGCCAAAGATCTATGATCAACCCTTGTCAGACTACGTCACAAATGACGTATTCAAGGAAATTCTAATGTATGGAATGACCAGCACAAATGCCTGTAACTTTTATATAAGGTATTTCTTATTAAATACTTAACTACTTGAACATTTATTTTATTGATCTGTTTGTTTCTTGATCTTTACAAGAATTTTATAATCCCTAGTAGCCTTGGTTACAAGTTCAAGATTATTAGCCCCCACACTTTTGCTGGCCACAGCCCTGATATGAAAAGGAGAGACTTATCCAGAGATTTGGCGGATATCTTCATTTTTAGGGTAGCAAAGACAAGGGAGATTTTGTTTTTGTCACATTACTGTCAAGAGTAGTATACTGAACTTTCATAAATTCTTTTATTTTTAATTATTTTGTAATTGTTTTAATTGTCTTTCTTATACTTAGGGGACACTAGATGTTGATTGTGGTCAATCCCACAAAGTGATGGATTTGGTATCTTGATTCTCTTCATAGGGATCTGACCAATCGATCATTTATGGTTTCATTGTTTAATAAATAAAATTTATATCTATTTTTCGTATTTAATTTAATTTCTTGCTTCAATATAATTTTTGAGAGTCATTAATATAAAATTTTATTGTCTGCTTAGGGCTCTGTGGCTATACCACGCAGATCAAGCCTTACCCTGCCCCCAGTCAAAAACGACCAATTCGACAAAGTCTTCCCATAGAAGAAAGTGAAGGTATTCATTACGATTATTTACTATTCTACCAGATATGGTTTATTTATATTATTCACTAATATAATTTCATTTCCCAATTCTTTGTAGTGCCCACGTCAGCCAAACAAAAGCTCTGAATGTGGGTATTGCATGATGAAATTCATGAAGGAAATAATTATGCACAATTCCGACACAATCCTTGCAAAAGTAATATGTATTTGTTAAAGTTCAATTTATATATGCTTTAGAATTATGTGTAGCTTTACATTTATATCTAACTTCAATTTGCTTTTGCATACAGTACTTTGCCTACACATATTGCACAGTGTATTCATCCACTTAGATGGAAGAAATCACTGAAGAGCTAGCAATGGCTTTGTACCCTCAGTGGGCACAAAATAGATAGGAAAGTAGAAGACTGCTTTAGTAAATTCAATTTTGTTGTGGTTATTAGCAATTGGCAAATTTTGGTTTTGGAATTGTTGTTTTGCTTTAGCTTTTTATGCTTGTCCAAATTAAACACTATTACAAAAAAGACATTTAACGATGGTTAAAATAAGCTTTTTACGATGGTTTTGAGACCAACGTCTATGCTATCGACGTAAAATATAGAGGATTTCATGGCAGTTTAAGAACCGTCGTGGTATGTGACTTTTCACGGCGGTTATTTAAATAACCGCATGAAAAGCTTTTTTTTTTAGTTTACCTTTCATCCTATTGATCAAGATGGAACGGGAAAACAAAGCCCCAAAGGAAGGGGTTTGAGAATCAATCAACCAATATTCTGTCACAAGTTCAAATAATTCTCATGGAGCAAATGTAGATTCTTTCCCGTCGTAATAGTACCACTTAGGTTTGTATTCAACCACTAGATTGAAGCCACTAAGATTTAATAAAGGTAAAATTAAAGACTCAAATATGATAAAATTCATGAATTTCAAGCTACTAAACTTTGATATACAAAATGAGGGAGAGAGAAATTAGATCTATTCAAGCTTTCAAGTATTAAAGTATATTTAAACAAGGAAGAGGAACAAAAATCAGATCTATTTAAACTCAGAATAAACATGATATCTTTAATCAAAGAAAACAACCAAACCATAAAAACTATGAAACCCATGGAAAGAATGGAGGAGAAAGGGTGAAAAACTCACAAATAAGAATGAAGAGGATGAGGCGATGGTAACAGCAACTGCAAGAGCGACGGTGATGGAAGAACATGGAGGAGATGATAGAAGGAAAGGATAAATACCAGCAAAGATAGGAGGATGGAAAAAATTAAGTGCGAACGATAATGGGGAACTATGAGCTCCAATTTTGAAAAGTGAAAACTTTCGCACGATAAATGGGGTTTTAAAATTCTGATAGACTTTTTATGGCAGTTTTTTTTACGGTGGGTTTTAAGAAAACCACCGCAAAAAGAACTTTCATGTCGGTTTTTTGGATAACCACCATGAAAAGTAAAATTTACTTCCCTATAATTACAAAAATGGCACCCTCATGTTTTTTACAATGTTTTTTTCTTATAACCACGGTCAATTGGTGTTGTGAGAGCTCTTTTTTGTAGTAGTGAAAATTTTGATTTGACTTGACACAATTGTATGACATTTGGTTTGTTATGTTATTAAGATGTATATAATGTAAATTTTTTGTGTGGTACATAACCATTCATATGACTGAGTTATTGCTTGCTGTATATTGGTTTGGATGCTGGCCTGGTATTGTCTTTCAAAAAATACTGCTTTGTATGAAATTTTATATTGCAGGGGGGCTACTAGAAAAGCAGTACTTGTGTTAAAAAAAAATACTTGATAGTTATTGTCTAAAATCACCAAGTATTAGGAGAACACTTGATGGTTCTAGTAGTAACCGTCAAGTATTCTCCTAATACTTGACGGTTTTAAGAGTAATCGAGAATAGTTGATGGTTGTTTGAGTAACCATCAAGTATTTGTAACAAATACTTGATGATTTTAACTTTAGAATCATTAAACATTACCAAATATATTTGACAATTATTAACCATCAAATATTTCCCAAACAAATATATGATGCTGGCATACTTGACGGTTTTTAACTGCCAAATATGACCAAAAAAACCGTTAATTATTATCTTTTTTGTAGTAGTGTATATCATGCCAATCTCCATCAAAACAGTCGACTTTATATAAAAAACAGGAGTCAAATGGAGAAATTAACTATTAATTAAAATTATAGTATGTACAAAAAAAATTATAACAGACCTAAGCCGGTTTAACAGTCTTAATAGATTTATTATAGATCAATGCCTGATTTACTAAGAGAAATATGCTTTTAAAAAGGCCTACATCACATTCTACTTTTAAATATGCCAAGCCACATGTGGCGTGACTTATATCCAACCTTACCAATCCTACGTTGGAGACTCTTGCAGGGGGAAGAGTCTTTCCGGGCAATCCATGTATACAAATACAGAGAAAATACTTACCAATCATAGAAATCATTCATCTGTATAAAAATATTCACATAATGAACTAAAGTACTTTTATTTAATATAGAGAAAATAAGACATAATTAAGGATATACTTATAACTGAAAAAACACATACCAAACATTGAAATTCTGAAATATATAAGGACTCTGTTATCATGTGTGTTTTATAATAGGGAGAATTACAATCAAGTCCCGTGCAAGAGAAATAACTACTAGAATGTCCAATAACAACCTGAGCAGTCTGTAATGACAAGTTCTAAAATGAAGAATAATAACCTTTAGGACTTGTTTTGTAATTTTTTTCTTATATAGGACCTCATTGTAATTCTTCCTTTCTAATATAACGTGTCTTATATCTAAAATATTAATTTTTTTCACCTCATAAGCCTAATAGTTACTCCTTCTTATTCCTAATATAAAAACTAATTTGAGGTTAAATTTTATATAAAATCTCATTCCACTTTATTTTTTATAGTTATCATTTTTCACAAACTAATTTATTAATTTTTACATTGATATATAATCTAATACTCCTTTAGTCCTTAATATAACACATATTTAACTAATTTAATTAGATTAATGAAATTATGTAAGGTAGTTAATTATAAAAAATATGGTATTTTCCCCCTAAAACACTATAATAATCTTTTTTAATATCCTCTCTCCCTCTTCTACTTAATTATAGCTAAGGGAGATCTATAGGTTTAATTTAGAAAAAACTGAGAAATATGAGAAATAGGTCTTATATTTAAAACCAAAATTAACTCAACAATTAGATCTTATATTAAGGACCGGATGAGTATTATAAATCTAGTTTAGGGAGGAGATACTGTAATTAAGTAATTTATCTAACTTTTTAGTTCCCATATATATATATATATATATATATATTAAGGAGTGTGATAGCATAGAACTTCCTAATTACTTAATCAAACTTATCTAACCAATCACCTTAAAAACAATTGCAAATGGAGAAAATACCTTCAATCTTATATAAAATTAAGTGCATGTAACTATGAAAATCGCTAAGACTCTGGTTTTATAGTTTTGAAGAGGTGAAGCCTAGGGGTGGCAATACGGGCAATCCGCAACTTGTGATGGGTTGGACTCATATGAGTTAGGTTAGAAAGTATTGTTTGAAAGTAGGTTGGCTGAAACCCACCAAGGTAGGTTCGTCAGTTGGCTTGCCAACTCATCAACAATAATTTACCTTTGTTTTTTAAATTTTTGTATCTTTTAATATTTTTTCTTATACAATATCCCAAAAAAAAAATTTATTTTTCTTAAAATATTTGATTGAAAGTATCAAATAAACCATATAGGTATTTTCAAAAATTTTTTAAATAGAATATTATATATAATAATATAATTATAGTATTTTTTAAAAATTTTAAAAATACAAAAACAAATATTGGTCAGCTCACGGGTTGATGGGTTGAACCAAGATGGGTGCATCTTGGTTGTGCAGGTTAACAAGATTTGTTTACTAACATGTTGAACGCCTATTAACAGGTCCAGTGAAGCCAAAACAAACAGGTTAAATGCAATCTTATAAAACTAGTCCTATGTTAAAACTTACAAGCTTTGTCCCAACTAAAAATATGCCTATTTTATGTAGAAATTAAGCAGCAAATTAAAGCCGAAAGGATGAGTATCCCACGCAAGATTAAGCCATATTTTCAATCCTGTAGTCTCTAGGAACATCACCAGCCTCTTCTTCATCTTCCTCACCTCCTTCACCGGAAATCTCCTCCAGTGATTTTCCCTTGGTCTCCGGCACCAGAAAGGTAAACATCAACCCTAACAAGTTAATCACTGCCAGAATTATCAGAGCATTCCTCACTCCAATGGTGTTTGAAGCATACAAAAAACCAAACGATCCCACTATTGCTCCGGCTTTGCCCGCCGCTGCTGAGATTCCATGACATGTAGACCTCAGCCTCGCCGGAAATATCTCCGCCGGCACGATGAATGTCGTAGAGTTGGGCCCGAAGTTACAGAAGAAGAACGTCAGCGAGTAAATTACCACGAACCATATCTGGTTTCCCGGCATGGTCCAGTGTTGGTAAGGAATGGCCAGTGCAAACATAAACACCGTCATGAAGGAGAAGCCGATGATCTGAATCGAGAACCTTCCGATCCGATCAATAAGAGCCACTGTGACCCAGTATCCCGGCACAGTGCTGCAAATGGCTATAAGCGTCTGAGCTCTGGCGATCCTGAAGACCTCTTCAATGGCGCTCATCGTCTTCGCATCAGCAATCCAACCAATCGCACTGAATATATCTTTCTGAAACAGATTCTGACTGTAAAACGCAATGTCCAGAAAAAACCACGTCGTCGTGGTTCCAAGCAAGTGAAGCCCATGACGACGAAGAAACTGCTTCGAGAATAACCCAAACTGATTATCGCCGTTATTCTTACCACTCAAATTATTCTCAGTAACTTTCCGATCACTTTCTGCTTCTTCAATCTCAACCTGAAGAACTTTGGACATATCAGAAGCTGCTTGCTGCGTGTTCTTAGCGACCAAGGCGGTGTATCTAGCAGTTTCAGGCATCTTCATACGCCAATAGTAAGTTAAAATCGCTGGGACAGCACCGAACATGAGAATCAATCTCCAGACATAATCGGATTCTGGAACTGTGGATAAAACTGGATTCGTCTGATACGGTGGTTCTGGAAAGTAAGCTTTGAAAATTGCAGAGACGATGATCGCGACAGTGCCGCCGGCAAGAATCCCAAACCCTTGCATCCCGAAAACGGCGGCGATGAAAGCCCCGCGAGTCTTCTTATTTGAATACTCCGACATGATGGTGGCGGAGAGAGGGTAGTCGCCGCCGATGCCGAAGCCGAGCCAGAATCGGAAGAAGCAAAGAGTGGCCATAACAGCTTTAGGGTTCGATCCTAGAGAGAGACCAGATCCCATAGAACAAACAACCATGAGCATTAAGGTTATGCCATAGACACGTTTTCTTCCCAGCCTGTCTCCAAGCCACCCGAAGAAGAGTTGGCCGATTAGGGTTCCACAGAAGGCGACGCCGGTTATGGCGGCGGAGACATTGGACGGAAGCGAACCGGGTTCAGGAGAGCCTTCTTTGTAGTAATATATCCGGCCAAGTAACTTTGTGACCATGGAAATGCAGAACAGATCGTAGGAATCGGTGAAGAAACCCATTCCGGCGATCACAATCGTCGTAAAGTGATACCATTGTGTTTTCGCAGCATCAAGAGCTTGAAGAACCCTCAATTGATCTTTAGCCATTTTTAGGGTTTAATCTGAAACATTAAACAGAAAATCGACAAAAGATATGAATACACAAGTTAAAGCACAAGACCAAGAATCTAATAGCACACACTCACAGATAGAACTGTGAAGCTCAGAGAGATCACTACTTAGATCTACGTTACCGAATAATATATATGGATAGGGTAAGTAGGCGATATATTCGTATTTAATTTGGACTTGGAAAAGATCAATTAAAAGATGAGATATAATAGTAATATAACAGAAATAACGGTTTAAAATCTTTGGTATTTATCTTAAATTTTCTATATTCTTTTTTTTTCTCTTTTACTTTGATTATCTTTGATACTATTATCAACGATTCTCTTATCCCTATCTTGAGGAGAATGTTTTGTTTTGTTTTTATAGATTCTATATCAATATATTTTTTAATTTAGATTTTGTTTTAGAAAAATTGAAAAAGATTTTAATCTGCAATAGTAGTTCAAGTTTTACCTAAATCTATTTTTTTTTTGTCAACCTAATTTTTCCTAAATCATTAATCTTCAAAATATTTTTTGGCAAAAAAAATTTCAAAATAATCTTTTAAATTAAATTATGAATATTAATTGAAAACAATATACATCATTCACTTATTTAATTAAAATTGTTGGTTGATGGTTTCCCAAAAAAAAAAAAAAGAAACTCTTCCGGTCCTTAATATAGAACCTAATTGTTGAGTTAATCTTGATCCTAAATATAAGACCTATTTATCATATTTATCAATTATTTCTAAATTACTCCTATGGATACTTCCTCAACCATAATGAAGTAGAAGAGGGAGAGAGGATATTAAGAAAAATAATTATGGTGTTTTAGAAAAAACATGGCATATTTCTTATAATTAACTAACTTATCCAATTTCTTTAATTTAATCAAATTAGTTGAATAGGTCTTATATTAAGGACTGGAGGAGTAGATGGATGGTCCTGAAAAAACTTGTAGATGATCGTTATGTATTATTGTATTTTTCGCAAAATTATAACCCCCCATTTTTTGTAGCAAAAAAAATTACAACCCCCAAAAAAAAAAACACTTTAATCCTCTTCCCCCATTTTTAAAAGTTTAAAAATAACATTCTCAATTTTCGTAGTTTGACATTTACCTCCTTACTATTAAAGTAGTCATTAAATTTAACAGAATGAATGCCATGTCAAATTATTTAAAATTACTTGGCAAATGACATGTAATTTTTATGATTTTATTAATTTATCCCAACTCAAAAGTCATAATTATATTATATGGTATTTTTATGATTTGACAATAATAATCCCTAATTCATAGTCTCTCCTGATCGTCTTCCTTTTTCACCCTCTCTTAGTTCTTCTTGTTTGCCACGTCGTCTAATAATCTGCTCCAATCTCCATTCCAAAAATCATCTACATCACATCCTTCTTTCACGGGAGAATTTCGATAAACCCAGTAACAAATTAATATCAATCAACACCACAGTTATAAGAAACATAAGCACTTGTATTTCAAAAAATCATTTTGGTCCAAGAGAATGAACCGAAATTTTGAAATTTTTTGGGAGTTGAACGATATTAATTTGCTACTGTGGGTTTTTTTTGTGAAATTGTCCTTTTTATATTTTTTGTGTGAAGTTGTTTCCTTCTCTGCCTATCTTTTAATTGTACTCAGTGAAAAATTTGTTTGGGGCAATGAGACAAAGATAATGGAGAAAATCATTTACACTTCGTCAGTTTTTGCACATAACCAATTTATGGAAGTATTATATTGTTGATGAGAATCAAGTGAGAAGAGTTATATTCTGAAGATGATTTTTAGAATGAAGAAGAAAAAAGCGCTGCAAGTTGGGAGGCGCTATGCAAGACGATTAGGGGAGATTGACAATTAGGGATTATTATTAAGAGTAGAATGACAAAAATACCCTTAAGTTTAATTGTGAGTTTAAGTTGGGGTAAATTAACTAAATAACAAAAATTACATATTATCTGTCAAGCAATTTTAAATAATTTGACGTCTCATCCATTCCGTTAGATGGTCATTTTAATGATTAGGGGTTAATTGTCAGGCAATGAAAATTGAGGGTATTATTTTGGTTCAAGATACTTCCAACACATGGAAGTATTTTCTCAAGCACATTTAACATTTTTAAATATCTTGTGATGCATCTAGCATCCTGAAATATTTTTGGAAAAATGACAACAAAATACCACCTGAATTTCAAAAAGACAAATAAGGCACCTGAATAAACAAAATGACATATAGGGGACTGGGTACCAATCTGGAATTCAGATTTTTGGCCAAAAGACCAAAATGCCCTGTCTGAAAGTGAGAGAAAGGAGAGAGGAAGACGTTGATGAAATACGGGAAGGAGAGAGGAGGAAGACGCTGATGAAATCGGGAAGAAGAGAGGAAGGAGAGAGGAAGACGCTGATTTTCGATGGGTTCCCACAGCTTAAAATGTTATTGCCTACCATTTCTCTAAAAACTTTTGGTTCTATCTCTGTTCTTCGCATAAAACCATTTTCAGAGAATGTGAAGCTGTGGGAAAGATGAAGCGAAAATCAGAAAACAATGGCAAGCAATTACGTAACGTAACTGCTGTCATATGCCTGCTGGTTTTTGGTAAATCCCACTACGTGAATGGTAAATTTCACTATACATGTAGTTAATTATGAAAGTTAATAGTTCAATATTTATTGTGACGTACTTCAAATGCACGTTCACTGAATGATTTATTTATGCTTATAAGTTGCCTTTCCGGTGAAAACAGGTTTACAAAACCCATTGAAGAAGTAATCACTTTCACTATAAAAGTAGTAAATCCCAGTATATGTTTTGTAAAATTCAACGTGAAATTTTATTGGTTTTTAGGAACAAGTTGCCCATCCCTTGAAAACTGGTTGCAAAAGCCATTTAAGAAGTGGTCATTTTCACTATAAAAGTTGTAAATATCACTGTGTGTTTTGTAAAATTCAGCGTAAAATTTTATTGATTTTTAGAAACAAGTTGCCACTACAAAACGTAGAATTAGCAGCGGAACATTTCTAGCGGTTTTTAGAAAAACCGTTGCAAATTACCGATGGTTTGACCATTGCCCGTACATTTCTAGCGGTTACCACCTAACCTCTAGAAATTTAGAGCTAGAAAATTTCCCGGGTTTTGGCGGGAACTTGGCGCCAAATTTGTAGCGTTTATTTTCTAGCGGTCAGGCCAATAAACCGCTAGACACTGAAATTTTCTAGCGGTTGATGCATGAACCGCTAGAAATATTTTTAATTCCCCGAGGAGTTTAGCAATTTCTAGCGGTTTCCGTATAAACCGCTAGAAATTTCTAGCGGTTCAGGTAAAAACCGCTAGAAATTTCTAGCGGTTTTTACCCGAACCGCTAGAAATATTTGCCAATTCCCGAGGCACTTGTGACCGTTGGGATTTTCTAGCGGTTCTGTCCAAAACCGCTAGAAATTTCTAGCGGTTCTGTCGAAAACCGCTAGAAATTCTCGGTCTATATAAACCCCCCTACTTTCACTTCTTCAATCGTTCTGGAAGCGAAGCTCTGCTGAATTTTCTCTACAAACATATTCAAGTTCTGATTCAGTTGCAGATCCTTATTTTCAGGTAAAAATAGTAATTTATTGATAAATAATTTTTATTTTATGTTTTATTTTATTTTATTTATTATGTTGTAGCTTATAAATAATTTTTCTTTTTATTTTATTTATAAATAATTACTATTTGTTGTTATTAGGATGAGTCGTCGACACGGGAAAGACCCAGTTGATCCTGAGAGAGCTGGACCCAGTGAGGTTCATCATGATGCTGGTGAGCCATTCCCCAGCATTCATGACTACGATCTCAGCGAGGAGGATATCCTCAGTTTTATGGAGCAGGATGATGTTGAGCGGACTGAGAAGGCTCATTTTACTGGGGATGAGCAACCCCATGCTGATGCTGATGCTGCTGACGAGGAGGAGGAGGAGGAGCAGGATCAGGGGAATGAGAATCCCCAGGCTGCGCAGCATCCTGCTCCGAGACGTCAGGCTGGTTATGGGGTGGAATTTGTCGGTAAGTATTTATTTAACTTTTTAAAATTTTGATCAGTATTTAATTTATATAGAAATTGTATTAATTTATTGATATATAATTTATTTCTTAATTAAATTTTGCAGACACTGAGGGGAACAGGTCCTATCGGAGGCTGACAGCCAGAGAGCTGTCTATGATGACGAGCGGACGAGTGGTTGTGCCGCTCAATGAGTTGGGCCAACTGACGAAGAAAGGTGGCCAATTGTACAACAAGTACGTGCGCCTCCTTGGTCAACAGTGGACGTTGTTCGCCATCTACGTGCAGGACTGGAAGAAGATCACCTCAGACAAGAAGCAGCAAGGTTGGGAAATGATGAAGGTAATATAAAATTGTTATTTATAATTTTTTTAATTTAAATAAATGATTATATATTTTGTTTCAAATAATTTAATTGTTTGATTATAATTTTTTATTTATTTAATTTGTTTGTTATTTATAATATTTTAAAAGTAGTTAAATGAATATATATTTTTATTTAAATTATTTAAAAGTAGTTAAATGAAAATAATTTGTTATTGATTTCATTAATTTATTACTTATAATAATTTTAAATTTAGTTGAGTAAAAATATTTTTTCATTTAAATTACTTAATTGTTTAATTATTATTTGTTTTTGATTAATTTATATTTTATTTATAATATTTTTAAATTAGTTAAAAACTAATTATTTGTTTTTGATTATTGAAATTGCTTAATTATTTGTTTATAATTTGTTATTTAGTTAATTTATTATTTTAATCATAGAGTAAATTTATTCTGGGGGAGGAGTTGAGGGCTGACACGATCAAGAGGCTTGGGATGGCATGGAAGAACAGGAGGGCCGACCTGTGGAGGGAGAAGAAAGGTGACGGGACGAGGCCCCTCCAGGAGATACTGGTAGATGTACCTGGTGGAGTCCCGGACCAAGACTGGTCCAGTTACGTCT